ACAGTTTGGCCTGTTACTTTAATTACTGGTTTAAAAAATATAATATTGCAAATATAAAAAAATTATAATATTAATATAATTATAATAATAATAATAATATTTATAATATAATACTAAGAATAATATTAATGAGGTAGCAGTGCAGGACACCTTTCAGTGCTGCCAGTGTACAAAATAAATATTTTTATATTGTATGTACTTTAATGAGGGGTTGCACACATATTTGATATTTACTGGAAAAAAATTAAGATTCACCCAAAACAGTTTTTTAGAACTCTAATCTCCCTCAGCCAACCAAAGGCAAGTCATGGATTTGTCAGGTCTCCTGTGGAGTATACAGTATGGTATTGTAGGTACATAGAGGACAGAAAGGAAGAGACAGTGCTGTATGTAAGGTTGTCTGGCCGTAATAGGTTGTGGAAGGTTTTGTATGTGTATTTTTTTTTTTTTTTGTCTTGGATCCTATTTGATTCCTTTTGTCTGGCTTTGTGCTGTCTCACACCCCAGTGCTGCTGGTAAAACAATTACATTAACAGGGCCCTGGCTCCAGCATTGCAATGCAAATGAGCTGCCCTTTATTATCTCCCGCATCTCCTCTAGAATGACTGGACTGCAGGGTGTACAGACAGCAAGCAGAGTCAGGACTGGGGCATATTGGACTCCATTACACACCTCCCTTCACAGACACATACATCAGGAACTAACATCACCTTAAAGACTAGCTGAGCATCATGAGACATGTAATCCATGAACCCTCGTAATTAATAATAATAATAATAATATTCTCCACTGATACTTGCCAGTATCTGTCTGTATATCCACTACATGGTGCAGGTTTTATTTTCAGCAGTAAAGTATCACACAAGCACAGGAAGTATGTATATATATTTCTATCTCACACATAACACAGTATATATATATATAACACTGTGTTCTGTGTGTGGTTACCGTATATGTAAGATATTGCATTTTAATTAATTTACCTCGTTCTTTCACCAGATTTTACATGGAATATATGTTTACATTAACTTTTTCCTGAAGTAAACATTTCCCAGCCCTGTAACCTGGTCAGTGATGGGTTGATATACAGCCTTGTAACCTGGCCACTAATCGGTTAATATACAGCCCTGTAACCTGGTCAGTGATGGGTTAATATACAGCCTTGTAACCTGGCCAGTAATCGGTTAATATACAGCCCTGTAACCTGGTCAGTGATGGGTTAATATACAGCCTTGTAACCTGGCCAGTAATCGGTTAATATACAGCCCTGTAACCTGGCCACTAATCGGTTAATATACAGCCCTGTAACCTGGTCAGTGATGGGTTAATATACAGCCTTGTAACCTGGCCACTAATCGGTTAATATACAGCCCTGTAACCTGGTCAGTGATGGGTTGATATACAGCCTTGTAACCTGGCCACTAATCGGTTAATATACAGCCCTGTAACCTGGTCAGTGATGGGTTAATATACAGCCTTGTAACCTGGCCAGTAATCGGTTAATATACAGCCTTGTAACCTGGCCACTAATCGGTTAATATACAGCCCTGTAACCTGGTCAGTGATGGGTTAATATACAGCCTTGTAACCTGGCCAATAATCGGTTAATATACAGCCCTGTAACCTGGTCACTAATGGGCTAATATATAGCCCTGTAAGCTGGTCAGTGAAGGGTTAAAATACAGCCCTGTAACCTGGTCAGTAAGGGGTTAATATACAGCCCTGTAAACTGGTCAGTGATGGGTTAATATACAGCCCTGTAACCTGGTCAGTGAAGGGTTAAAATACAGTCCTGTAACCTGGTTAGTAATGGGTTAATATACAGCCCTGTAACCTGATCAGTGATGGGTTAATATACAGCCCTGTAACCTGGTCAGTGATGGGTTAATATACAGCCCTGTAACCTGGTCAGTAATGGGTTAACACACAGCCCTGTAAGCTGGTCACAGATGGGTTAATATAGTGATAGGTAACTACTATACAGCAGTTGTTATAAAGTGGACCTGGAGATAGGACCTTTAATTAACCCGTTACAACCTGCAGCCCTATACAGTAACATAGCTCTCATGCTATATGCTATCCTACCATATATTTAAGCAGTTCTAGCCAGAACACACATAATATCTGACATAAAAGGGCTTTTAGTAACCAGAGATATTTGCGCAACACAATCACTTTTTTTTTTTTTTTAAAGCGACAGACTGTCTAGACAGCCACGTGACGGGGCGCGCCACTGAGAGCTCAGAGACAGCCTGGGGAGGGGAGGGAAAAGAGACAGTCTCAGATAGAGAGCAGGACATGCAGGGGAACGGAATGCAGAGTCTCGGACAAAGAGATCACAGAGGCAGGCTGGGGAGAGTGATGAGACAGTCTCAGAAAGTGTGAGAGAGCAGGGACAGTCTGGAGGGAAGAGCAAAGAGAGTCCCAGTGAGACATAACAGAGGCAGGCTTGAAGGGCAAATATACAATCTCAGAGAGCACAGAGACATTCTGGGCAGGGGAGAATAAAAACACAGAGCAGAATGGCAGAGACAGAGTGGGGGAGGACAGAGCAAATAGACAGACTGGGGAGTACAGGGCTAAGAGACAGACTGGGGAGGACAGGCCTAAGAGACATACTGTAGATGACAGGGCTAAGAGACAGACTGGGGAGGACAGATCAAATAGACAGACTGGGGAGGACATGGCTAAGAGACAGACTGGGGAGTACAGGGCTGAGAGACAGATTGGGGAGTATAGGGCTGAGAGACAGACTGGGAAGAACAAGGCTGAGAGACAGACTGGGAAGGGACAGACAGTCCCAAAGAATTGCCACAGGAGCAAAGAGATGCTGGAGATAGAGGCAGATAGAAAGAAGGAGGTTAAATAAAAGTTAAGGGGAGAGAGATCCTTGGGAGAAAGCCTGTAGAGAGAGCAGGCTGGAGAGGATAGGGGTGCAGAGAGACAGTCAGAGAGCAGAGTGACAAGCTAGAGACAATAGAGGCAGTCACAAAGAGAGAGCTGACAACACTGCCAGGATGGAGAGGGCAGAGAGAAGTGATACAGAGAGACAAGTTTGAGAGGAAGGGTAGAGAGACAGTCTCAGAAAGAGAGAGAGAGAGAGAGGGGATAGGATACAGAGTGACAGTCACATATGTATGAGGGGAGGTTATATCCAGCTCCTATTCTATATAAGGGGCATCATTGTGACTTATTAGCACCTGTCTATGTAATTGGGGGTAAATGGTATGTGAATTAGACACAAGTCAGAGTATATAACAGTGGATATCAATTAAACAGTATAATTATGTTTATAATGCAGTGTACACTTGTTAATATCCCACTACTCTATATACTGGGATTTATCTTCCAATCTAATGGTGGCTAATCTTTTTACAGCAGATTCTATAAACTATGTTTCCGCCTGGCTAAGCATCATGGGTAATATTGTTGACAAATATTTGCAGTGGCAAGGATTGCCATCATTAAAATGTATAGTTAGGAGAGCTCACAAGCATATCAGCATAGCCAGTCTGATTGTACCTATGCTAGTGGCAGACATGTCCTGTAATAACTGACCTTCTCTGGGGATACAACACTACCTGGTTACTTCCTAAATGAGCTGACCCTGAAACTCTTCCAAATATTAAAACTTTAACAGACAATCATTATGATTTGATGAATTACCTTCCAATGGTGGTGGCCAACTTATTTTTAAATGCATCCTTTAGAAGGCCCTAGTAAGTTGAGTTACATCTTTTCAACCAGGTATTTAACTGTTATATGCTGTTTATTTATTTAAAATTTTCACCAAACTCTGAATTGTTGTGAATTGAAATTGGATTGCCAGAATTTAACGCATGAACACATTTCGTTAGAATGTGGAATTTAGTGCATAAATCTACTTTTGAATGCTATTAATTGAGAATCAACCGGGAAATTTAATCTTTTCAGGTAAAATAGCCAAGCTGGGATGCTGTTACAATTTCAGGTATTTGGGTCTTGCAATTTCCAGTTTAGTGAATGTTAGTGAAACTGAGGGTATACAAGACCTGTAACTATCTATACAAAGAATAGATCTAACGGCCTATAAAGAAGATAGATATGACATAATTATGTGATTATGCTTGTCCCATGGCCTACACCATGAATTTATAAAAACAGCATGTACTGAGAATTATTGTCAATAGATATTTGTGATGCAAAGTAAATACATAAAAATGGAACAATCAGCAAGACAATTATTTTTGTTTCCATGGTGACTGTTCCAATTTTAGAAGCTTGTCCAATAACTGCTCCCAGTGTGTATACTAAGGGTAATATTGCTCATTGACGTATACTGAGGATTAACACATGGCATATACTCAGAATATTTGGTATGGACACAAGACATATTCTCCAAATATTGAGGATAGGCACATGGCATTTACTATGGATATTTATGATAGACAGAGAACATTTGAGTGCTGTCTGTCTTGTTCTTGTCTGTACTGTTCCTTGCATCATTTATGTGCTGTCTCTCTCTATACTGCATGTTGTCTCTCTTCTTCCAGCCTATGTATTGTCTCTCACCAGCTGAAACCTATGTGTACTAGCATTAGTTCTTATATGTTTTCTATCTCTCCTGCCTGCATTCCTGTCTGTGTGTGTTGTCTTTCACAAGCCCCTATCTCTTTGCTTTCTTTTTTGTTTCTCTGTGTTGTCTCATTAGCCCTTATCTGTGTGCTGTCTCATTAGTCACTGTGTGCTGTTGCTCTCTTGCCTGTCTGTGTTTAGTCTCATAAAATTATTGTAAAGCGCTGTGGAATAAGCTGGCTCTATGTAAATAATAACCAATAATAATAATAATAAAAACCCATATGTGTGCTCTCTCCTGCCTGCCTGTTTTTGCTGTCTCTCATTAGCCCCTCCCTAACTGTGTTATGTCTCTCTCTCCTGAATGTCTGTTTAGCTGTCTTTCATGACCCCTATATGTGTGCTGTCTCTTTCCTTCTTGTTTGTGAGTTGTCTCTTATTAGCCCCTCTCTATGTGCTGTCTCTTTCCTGACTGTTTTCTCTCATTAGCTACTATGTGTATTATGTATGTATTTATCCCCATCTGTCTGCTGTCTGTCATTAGTTCTCATTTGTGTGCTGTCTCTCTCCTACCTGTTTGTGAGTTGTCTCTTATAAGCCCCTATCTGTGTGCTGTCTCTTTCCTGTCTGTTGTCTCCCATTAGCTCCAATGTGTGTGCTGTCTGTTTTTAGCCCCATCTGCGTGCTGTCTCTCTACTGCCTTTCTCTGTGTGTTGTCTCTCATTAGCGCCTGTGTGCTGTCTCTCTCCAGCCTGCCTGCCTGTCTGTCTGTATGTTGTCTCTCATTAGTCCCTATCTGTTTGCTGTCTCTCTACAGCGTGCCTGCCTGTCTGCGTGCTGTCTCACTAGCAGTCAGTCCCTCCTCCTGCCCATTTCCATAACCCAGGCAGGGCTGGCCCAGTGCTGTGAGAAGGAGGAGAGCTCAGGTCTGGCTTTATTTCTCTCTCTCCTGCCGAGCAGCCGGATCAAGGATTCTTTTGGATTAAACCAGAACAAGAGGACGCATTGGGCTTCATCTCTAAGGGAACCTACACCTCCGGATATACATTTCTCAACATTCTATTTTGTATTAATTGATATTAAGATCGTTCTATTTTTTTCTGCAACGACTTGCAGACCCACAGCTTCATTTTACATACAGTATTTTTCTTTATTTTTTATTTTTTCCCTTTGGATTTGCAGTGGGAACAATCGTTTGTATTTTTTTTCATACTAAGGATCCATTTACAAGCAGCACCCCCTTTTCCTCCTTGTTACATTGTATCCTTGTCCCCTTACTCAGATCCCCTCTGGTGCTTTAAGTACCCCTGTTCTCCCCCATCCCATGATCCAGCTGTGACAGGGCAGCCCTTGGCATGTGCTGGGGCACTTGTGGGGGACCATTGCCTGGGCATTTATGGTGTACCCCTGCCTGACCCCCCAGGATCGCAGCCCCCCCGGAGCCGGATATTTCGGTGCATTTTGGAGGATCTCCTAGTCCTGAGACTGGCGTATGTTCCAGATCGCTTTGGCTTGTCGGATCCCCGGTCTCCTCCGACCCTCCCGGGCTGCTGCTGCCGCTGGTCCCTGCCCGGCCTCGGATCCAGGATCCTTCATGACTTGCGGGCGTCATGCACGTTTCTTAGCCGGGAAGCCTTGCTCTCGTCCCGCATGTTCAGGACCAAACGATCGCTGCTCGTCCGGAGACTCTGGAGGAGCCGAGCTCCCGGGGAGTTGGGGGAAGGGGAAGCGGAGGGCAGGGTGCATGGAGCCGGCGGCTGCTGCCCGGGCAGGTCGGCCAAGGTGTCCCGGGCGCCGCTGGGGTCGGAGGCCGAACTGAAGGCGCTCACCCACTCCGTGCTCAAGCGGCTGAAGGAGCGCCAGCTGGAGGGGCTGCTGCAGGCGGTGGAGTCCAAGGGGGGAGCCCGCAGCCCCTGCCTCCTGCTGCCCTCCACCAAGCTGGACCCCCGGTTGGCCCAGCAGCCCTTCCCCCTGCCCCTGCTGCTCTGCAAGGTGTTCCGCTGGCCGGACCTCAGGCACTGCTCCCAGGCCAAGAGGCTGAGCTGCTGCGAGTCCTATGGGAAGAACAACCCGGAGCTGGTCTGCTGCAACCCGCACCACCTGAGCAGACTCTGCGAGCTCGGTAAGAGGGGACCTGGGGGAGAGGGGATCACGGGTGGGTGGGTAAATGTAATCATGGGGGAGTTAGAAAAAGGGGACCTGGGTAAATGGGAATCGGGGGGGATCCTGGAGGAGGGGAGCTAGAAGTGGGGTGCACTGTAGGTTTGGGAGAACCTGGAAGGAAGGTATGGCAGGATCTGATGGTTCAGTGTGCGAGCTTGCTATGACAGGGGTATAAGATGCTTCTCAGTGTGACATTAAGGTATGGGGGACTGGGGGCTTCTCAGTATATCAGTCAGGCACAGGGTCTTGATGCTGTGTGAGCTAGGTCCAAGGGTAATCTAAGAATCCCTGTGTAAGCAAGGTATTTTGGGGTCTGAGCAATCCTGATTGAGACTGTGTGAATAGGTACAGATGGATCTAATCTGGGGGTACCCAAAATGTCCCCATATTCTGAACACATTGACCCCTTGTGTAATGCATTAACTATATTTATTATCTCCTGCCTGTTGTCCATATTGTGCCATGTCTAGTGCCCACCTAGTGCCCCTGGCTGTCTAGTGTACACACTGCCTCTGATTTCCTTGAAGCCTTAAAAGGTGACACGAGGTCTGAATTACTAGATAGTGTATCTATAATCTGAGGGCTGGCTGCATTGCTTTTCTCACATTGGTACCCAGAATGGCATATTGTGCTGGGAACACTGATCTTTGAATGCCCAGTTACTACTTAATCTGTTTGGCAGAATCCCTGATCCATATTGGAAGGTTTTGCTGCCTGTATGTAGAATATGTATTTTAAGATTAATCATGTAAATAGCTCTGTATTGGGATTTTTGATGGTGTTAATACTGTCATTGAAGGAAACATGACTTGAATGGTAAGGGACCCATGAATTCAATGTTTAGAGAATTGTTGTGATTCTAGATCCACTGTATTATGGCAGAGCAAGATAGATAACCCATCACACTGATTAACCCAATGACTGCTACATTGCAGAGTATAAAGTCTGTAAATGGCCATTTACTATATATTTACTGTTGCATATGCAAGCCATTTCTCTTTACCCTGTACATCTTTTCATCTGGCGAGTTTACTGTTGATAAATCTGACACTTTTCTATTAAAGTGACAGATGTCTCGCCTGTCTGTGTGGATCAAGACATGCACTGCAGGGGTTAATGACAGACCCTAATTCTTTAGCATGCAGCATGCACTGTGTGTTATGGGGGGAGGGGGTGATTAAATGTCAATCACATTTCCCAATTTCAAGCTGTCATTTACAAATGATGGCTTTGTGATGTATGAAAATTAGTCCTGATGCAAAAATTCATGGAACACACGTTAATAATTTGTTTCAGTTACTAATGTGTTAAATTGTGCAAAATGGGTTATACTACTGTATACATTAACCCTAATTGGGGGAAAATACAATCCACAAGGGTTGGGGAAAGAGATCTTTTAATGGGTGCATATAATAGGTTGCTCTCCTTGTAGATACTTAGTGATGGGACCCAGAGAAAGGGGGACTTTATCCCCCTGGAATGCTTCCACAGTGTTTAAATGTCAATCGGTTTCTTTCCCTTTCCCCTTTCTGTGCAATGTTAAATGTGTTTGCAGCTAGAGAGGATTATCAAGCAGTCTGGATCAGTTAGTGAATTGCAGAGTTGCACTGGGGAGACCTTGCTCAGACAGCCAGAGAGGCAGATAGCAGTCTACTGGCGCCAGGCGGCCCCTTTTGTTTATCAGACTGCTAAAATCAAGGCACACACCGCCTGCTGGCCTGCCTACAACCCCCATAGCTTACACAAACAGTTTGGCTAAACGAATACCAGTGTTATCATAAGTTTCTATCTCTCTCTCTCTTTTTTTTTTTTTTTCTCTTCCTTTTTTTTTTTTTCTTCTCATGGCTGTTACTTTATTTTTTTCTTTCCCTTTTTTCATTTCAGAATCACCCCCACCTCCTTATACAAGATATCCAATGGAGTTTCTCAAAGCAACTGGTGAGTCTTTTTTTTAATTCATTTTTATATATATTTTTTGTTTCCACTTAAATGTCTGATTTCTGATTTTGGTGACTTGCTATTTGCGATGCTTACCTTTTTTTAAAATCTTCGTGCATATAGTTTATTTTGAATCTTTAAATGTGATTTAATTAGATTTTTTTTTTTGGTAAAAAAGTTTATTTAATGAAAATTAAAGTTTATGTATTTTCTTTTTTTTTAAATCCGGTTTAGTGCTACATTACAATAACATTTATTTTTTATGGCTGTATTTTTAACAAAATGTAACTTAAAAAAATATATATATTTTACTTTATGGTTTTTGTAAGTTTTACCTTAGTATGCAACTTTTCTGATTTTTTTTTATTTATTTATTTTTTATATATTGGTTATCTTTTTACTGCAAGCTGTTGAGACGAAAATAAATCAAATAGGACTTTCTTTTAAATAATGTTGGGCATTTTCCAGTGATTAGGCGATATTGGTTACTGAAATTCAGTTCTAATGCCAATTTATATTCTTAGAAAATCCGCAAACCCCATGGTTTCTCTCTAATAACTCTGACGGATTATTTTAATTTCAAATATTTCTTGAAATAATCTTATTACATTTTACGTGTGTATTCAAATCCTTCTGCAGCCGCAAAGTCTGGCAGCTCATTCCAAAGCGGGGACGCAACATGGCGCTAGAGTGGTTAACAGGTCCTGACGTGCCTGTTACCTCTAATGAATGGGCTGCCAGCCAGGGCAAAAGCCCATTTTAAGCTGGCACCAGCACTGTTGAGTCGCCTGTGTAAATCTCTCGCTGGCACCTAACTCACCTTGTACTGGATAAATAAGACTGGTATTGTGGGCAGAGGGATAAGTCTTCTAATATATCGGATGTGTGCCTAATGTCAGGGAGTGTCTGTTTGAGTCACCTCATATCTCTGTCTAAAGATGGATTGTTCCCAAGTATTGATTGGAGACCAAATGTTTTATTTGTGATTATGTCCTAATGTCACGCAAGCAGTAAACCAGGCTCATGCATCATTTCTGGCTACAATAAAAAAAAAAAAAAAGTGATTTACAACTTTTTAACCATGATAACAATGTCATTGCATTTCCTTCCTGAACAGAATATTGCTTTAAAATCTCATTGATTTTCAGGGAGTTCCTCACTTTATCGTACCACTGACCTATCAGCACACAAATCTTCTGCTTGACATATATACACATGCCTAAAGTAGTTGACATCTGTTGGTATATGTTACTTAAAATCAATGATGTGTTTCTTTAGTGCATACCGCAACTGTGCCAAGGAACAAACACTTTTATTTTATTTTTGAACACCCCAGCATTAAGAATTAGTGGCTGTCTATTGTATTTTTTTTTTATTTATTTTTTTTATTGAGTTTCCTGGTTGATTGCACCGTTTTACGTTGCAAAAGTTTGCATCACTATTTTACTTTCTTGAACAGATTCTGTACAAAGCAGGATGGTGTGTGCAGGGCGCTGATGTGTTGCATATATGTATGTGCAAAAAAAAAAAACCTCCATGTCTGAGTGTGTCAGTATGAAAGCAAAAGTTTCTTACACCAGATGATAGGAAGTGATTAAAGCTGCAAATCGGAAACTAGCAAATACAAAATTTACACAAATAAAAAGTCTTGGGTTTATTGCTAAAGGGAACAATAATGCAGCTGGCTGTCTCATTGTATAGTGACAGATGTCTGGGTGATTTTGTCATTAAATCGTGATTTTTAACTTTTTGAGCTTTAATATTTGGAATTGTTGTGTTCCTTTTGTGGCTGAATCAGCAGGCTGTGTCTAAAAGATTTTAGATTCTCAAAAATGTACATTTTAAATATTGGATGCTTTAAAAAAAAAAAAAAAAAAAAGTATTATCTGTTGGGTGCCAAGGACACATTGTTCTGCAATGCTTGCTTTGACCAGCAAATACAGCTCTTAAATTGGCCAACCTGAGCCTGTGGACAGTCTGTCTGCTAGTCAGTAGTCTGAGTATCCCTGGTGTTTATTATACTTTGCTCTTGTATTCTGATGGCTTATCTTGCATTTTTAATCAGCCCTGTGTAGTCTTCTGTCTGTGCTGGTTACAAGGAAACACAGCTGTCTCTATCAGTTCACTGTAAACTGTGAGACCAGTTTTCTTGGAAAGAAACACTGTATTTATAATGATGCATGTTGGGGTGATGCTTTTAGACATTAATTCTTTTTTTGTATTGACCAATCAAATTCTATATATTTCATACTCTTAGTGGAGTGATCCACATATTGCATGCACAGCCAAGTATCGAAGAAGTTAATAGTATTAGAGCTTGTGTTTTTTTTTTTTTTTTTAGTTTTTTTTTCTCTCTCAAAATTCATTTTGTGTTGTATTGGGAAGCAGATTTGTTTATTTTCTGTGCAAAGAAATATAATTAACCTAAAAAAAGGCTCTAGGGTTTGTTGCAGAGATTTTATTTGGGCACACGTTTCAGTGTGTTCAATCTGTTTATCTCTTGTTACTAAGTGAGAACCTAAGGAACGCTCTGCAATAATATCCAGTTTGTCAAGGAAAAAGGAACATGCTTTGCCCTAATTTCTTTTAACTCTTTGAGATGCCAGCAAAAGGGGTTAATGTATATTTAAAAACGTTTTTTTTTTTTTTTTTTAAAGTGTAATTTTTTTATTTTTCAGCAGGGGAGGTATATATTTAAAAAAAATATTTTTAAGTCCCATTGAACTGATATGAGCTAAACTCCCAAATTCAGGGGCATATATTTATCTTAAAATTTAAAGGTGCACTAGTCACCAAAACAACTTTAGCTGAATGAAGCAGTTTTGGTGTTTTTATATCATGCCCCGGTAGTCTCACTGCTCAATTCTCTGCCGTTTAGGAGTTTAATAACTTTGTTTATGAAGCCTTGGGCACACCACCCGGCATGTAAACGGCACAGCCTTTCTAAACCCTTCCTGTAAAGAGTCCTCTAATGTGTGCTTCCTTTATTGCACATTCAGTTTCATTTAAAATGTCTTATCTCCTGCTCTAATGGCCTTCTAGACATTGCAGGAGCCTCCTGTGTGTGAATAAAGTAAAATCTACAGTGCTGGTGATTTAATTTTTTTTTTCTAAAGTAAGTTAACATCTATTTGAAAATGAAACACATTTTTTCATGCAGGCTGTGAGATAGGTGTGGCTAGACTGCATGGACAGAAACAAATGTGGTTTAACTCATAAATGGCAGATAATAGAGCAGTGAGTATTCAGAGGCAACAACTATACACTAAAAAGCTTCATTAAGCTTAACTTGTTTGGTGACTACAGTGTCCCTTTGAGTTAGAAACCACAATATGACACAGCGCCCCCTTTTGGTTGACATGATAAAGAAGCCCGCATTGGTTACCAGCTGATGAAAGACTGTGCAGCAAATACTGTTAGTCTATAACGCATCATTGTCAGCTGGGTTTGGTGTTCCTTGTGATTGTCTAGGATTAGACCTACCCACATTTCTGGACATACCTGTCTGCGTCTTAGTGATTTATCCTTACTTGTTCCTCCCTGGCCCCAATTGCACCCAGTTATGGTTTCCCCTCTCTCAAATGGCATGTAAATTAAAACATTGGTATTTAGAAAAGAGATAAGCTGCCATGCTATAATTTGTACTGGGCACAAGGACAAAGAATGTGTTTTTTAGTTTTTAGTTTTCTATAGCTGACACAATGCCAAGTTCCTGAAATCGTATAACCTGGGGCATCGCTACACGTGGGAGTTCAGTTTTTAGTGTCTCCCTTCAGGTCAGCTAATGCTGCAAGGGGTAGAAGTGTGAGGCTGAATGCGTTGCATGATTTGCTGGCACTAAAACAATCATCCCATTTAGTAAATGGTCTAGCATTCTACACTTCTCACAGCTTACCTAACTAGCTAAGAAGGAGCAGAGCCGCTTCCTTGGGACATTAAAAACACTTCTTGAAGACATTTAGCAAGTGTACTCTACGGTATTTCACAAGTAACTCTGCTTCCTGTCTCCCCCATTGTTTCAACTTCGATTAAGTGTATCCTGTTAAACTGTAAATTCCTGTTTCGGGTTAGTCTTTGCCCCAATTAACGGATGATTGCCTGTACATTAACCCTTGCAATGTCGCAACAATAAGCTTCACCTACTTTGTGGTGCTCAAACATGGATTTATTGTCTTGTTGTGCTTTTTTGTTTTGTTTTTTTGTATATTATTTTTAGATCTGCTTTGGCATATCTTGTTTCTTTTCGGTGATCATCTTGGGGAAAGTTTTGATTGAAATAGCAAACTCTATGCTAATTAATACAGCATTCAGTAGAGCTTTGACTATAACGTTATAACATTTGTAATGTTCCCAATTTTCCCTCTAAGGAAACATGCAAACTTCCTGAGGGGACGAGTGTAGGGTGGGGAAAAATGAGCGAAAACACCTAAAACTGCGCACTTAAGTAATTAATTACATATGCATATTGCTAACCCTTTTGCAGGGCCTTTAGTTTAAAAACTCTTTGGAAAAACAGCAGAATTTATATGTAAAGATGTGTAACGTGTGTAGGTATTGTTCTAATGTCAAAACACAACGTATTGGTGAACAAGGCTGTTATTCATCCATATTTCTGAGTATTTAGATCTGCTTGCTAAACATGTCAGGATTGTGTGAGGGGTAGAGTATAAAGTCTGCCATCTCTATTCCACAAGAAACGTTCTGTCTTTGGCCATATTGTTGAGGATTCTGAATAGGAAGAGTCATTCAGGCCCTTTCACCTCTAGAGCGTTAATTACATGCTCGCCCAATCTTGTGTCCAAGTCCATTTTTGTTTCCATAATAATTTTACCACCAGTTTTAGGCACCTATAGCAGCTCATTGATGAAGTGAGCTGTATGTATTTTTGGTGTTTTCTGGGGTTCAGAACAAGGGCCTCACATCATGGCTTACTTTGTTGATACAAGCTGTGTGAGTGCAAGTGGGCATTATGTTTTTCATGCTCATGGGAATGAGTTGAATTTAAAACTATTTCCGTTCGCAGCTATTGGGACTGTGAGTATCACAAGGCTGACTGAAATTATCCCACTTACATCTCTCACAGCTAGATGGCTGTTAAGTCTTGTGATTTATTTTGTTTATTTAATATGGGTAATACTTGATAGGGTTTTTTTTTTAGGTTCCCAGCATGCTTCTACTAATGGAACCCCTAATCCCTGAAAGTAGCCTTCAGAAAGCTTTGCAGTGTGCTACCTACAATGTGGTGCTTTATGACATGTATGGTTGTGTTTCCCATATATTATACAAGCTGCATATCACCAATTGTAGTGATAGATCTTCTCTTGGCTCTATTGCAATGTGTGTACTTATAAATTTATTGTAATTCTGTATCAAAATCTCATAGAATCCTGCATTTATGTTTTTTTTTCTTGTTTTTTTTTTTCAGCAGACCCGCCAGACTCTGCACCTTCCTCCACTGAAACAGGGGAAACAAATTACTTGGCCCCTGGGGGGCTATCAGGTGAGCTTCTCAGCTGATCATAATTTATACCAGGGGTGTCCAGTCTTGGCCCTTATGCTGTTGGTGGACTGCAATTCTAAAATTTCTGTTAGTGTTGGGACTGGTTGTCTGAAAACGGCTTGACTCATCCAAGATTAAACAACCGTGAACATTAATTATATCCCTATACTTTTCATATCTAATTCCAAATAGTTGCACTGGGTGTTTTGGGCGATTTTTGTATACATACATATTGGTGCATATTACAATATATTTTGTCTGAGCCATGCTTCTATAAGACTAAAATGGTTATATGTTTGGTGCAAACTTTTGGTTTATCCTTTTTAATTTCATTGTGTGCAGGCAGGGGGTGGTCTTCTCCGACTCAATAAATGGAATTTTGCAGCTGCCGTAACCCAAAGGCTAGCACTTTATTTTACTAGACAACATACCACGGAGTAGAAATGGAGGTTGTTAAAACTGGATTGGGTGACTTAATTAGGCTGTTATGAGTATGCAGGCCCTCATCAATAGGGGGGGGGGGAAGGAGAATCAAAAGCAGAAATAGCCAGTAAATTCTTAAGTCTTCATTAAGAATTTTGCCAAGAGGCCTCAGCAGTCTGTGTATTTAAGTTCCAGATGTCATTGTTAGCAAGGAACTGAGGGATAAAAAAAAGTGTATTATTATTATTATTATTTTTTTTTATATATATATATTTTTTTTTTTTAAAATACATTCATAATGGGGAACCATGTTTTGTCTCTGTGTGACTATATTAGTGTCTGCCTCCTGTATGGGCTACATCTGTCTTAAGTTGTCAGATTGATCTGAGGGTGATGGAAGTTGAATCTTCAGCAGACTAAAGTCGTCTTTACCTAGTGTCCCCTGGACTCGCTTCACCATTATGTCTATTGCTCCTATTTTGCTTAATAGACCATTGAATGCTTTCACAGATTTTGGAAATGAATATACTGGGTATTTTACCTTGATTAACCCATTGTGCAGGGTTTATTTTTGTATTTACACTGTGCGCCTGTGGTGTTACTTGCTTTGGGGGTTGGGGTTTGGAGTTAATGGAATGTCCTGTTTAATGCCACATAAACGTCCACATTCCATTTGCCAGTTCATTCAGGATAAGGACTTCAAGGCAGAACTGGGACATTTTCTGAGTGTTTATCCCACATGGAATAACTTCAGGGCAACCCTGGCTTTTGAAAGGTGGGAGTAGAAAGTTTTTGTTATTGATAACATCTCAAATGTCTAGCCTGCTGCTGGGGAAGCAAAGAAAGGAGAGGATTGTGCTGTAGGAATTAACACAGACTAAAGTGAAATACCTTATTAATATTTTTTACATTTTCCGCATGGCAGAGGGAGCGTGCTGCTTTGGAAGTTTGTCATTGCTCACAGTTAAGGGGAGATCACTTGTGTAATTTAATCTGAAGGCCAGAACTCGTGAAGTCAAGGTTTTTCTTGTTTCAAAACACTCCTCCCCCACCCCACCCCACCTTTTTTCCTTTTCTTTCTTTCTTTCTTTTTTTTTTTCTGTCTTAAGTGTTTGTGGGGAGACTGTGGAGCCAACAAAGGCTTTAAGGAGGAATTTCGAGTTATGGAAGGATTTTATGGGTGTAGCTGTAGAAACTTGTATAAAGTTCCGTAGAGGAGCGCATATAACTAAATGGTCATGATTTGGATGCTGAAATGGTGACTAAACCTATTTTATAAGCACAATAAATGCTGCTGTGGATCACAATTCCCATCATAACTTGCCTGGGCTTATTTTCCTCCATATTTATAAAAGACCCTGTTAATGTTGTCTTGGACAAATTGTAAGAAACATTTGCATTTAAGTAAATTTTACGTTTGGGTTAGGACTATAATCATCTGGTATTGTAGTGTTTTTATCCGTGTACTAAAAATGCATAGGAATTCCCAGGTTCCGCTATCCACAGTTAGGTGCAAGTATTTAATTTATGAAGCACCAACATATTGTGGAGCAATGTACAATTAAGAAGCACAACATGGACGCCATATTTGAGTTGCATGCACAGAGCATCAGTCAGAAGCCATTTTTTTTTTCCCGTAGTCTACACTGTGTTAACAACCCTTGAGTCCCTGCTAATCTCTTGTAGTTGACATTTCCTGCTTGACTATAGGTAGTTTGTGCACCTGCAAGCTAGTATTGCCTTGAGAAATGCTTTTAAATTTACCATTTTTACATTGGTATCTTTGTGACTGGCTGTTATTTATTGCTTGTTCCTAAATTCTAGAAGTCTCATGTACAGTTTTTGTTTCACAACACTGGTACTTTTCCCAAAATGCCCCATTCTGTCCATTCTTACTTTTTAGAATTAAGAGGTTTGTGTGTATCTGCGAGGGCTTATTTATTGACAAGCTGATAAGTGTTGATTCATGAACGAATATTGTTAACTATGCAAGTCATGAAACTGCGCCAAGTCCCCTCCACATGAAAGGGCATTTGTTTTACATTAAGTCTGATTTACTAGTGGCCTTATTCAGAATGGCTGCATATTTCTTTTAATGTTCAACCCCAAGAGGCAAAAGTACGAGGCTGTAGGAGACCCACACAAAAAAAAAATGGGTTGGGGGTTGGATGTTAGTGATCATTTGCAATACTTGTGACTCTTCCTTTTTGTTTTATGTATCTTAGTTGTTTTGTGGGTTCTTTTAATTGTTGTGTGAATTTGTCACTGCTGATTTTAAACGTTTTTGAATATTAACATTTTGATGCGATCTTTACATTGACAATGAAGGCTCATATATGACCCTTAAAAAGCAGATTCTTTTAAAAGTCTCTAAATTGGTTGTAAAAAAAAAAAAAAAGGTCTTTCATGTTATTAAGGAGAAATCTTTTTTTCAATGCTTCTTATCCATACGCAGAAAAAAGAATTGGTTTTGTATGTAATGTTGGCATTCCCAGAATCCTTTGCAAGACCAGTCTTTTTAGAGTGACCATAGCTACTCAAACTCTTACATTCCAAAATAATAATAATTTTTTTTTTTTTTTTTTTTTAATCTTTTGTATTTTGAATCATACTTCAATCCACACACTTTACCAGACAAGGCTGCTGTCTCTGTTAACAATGTGATGCTTATTCATGTAAGACAGTAGACACCTAGAAACCAACCCCACAGATAGTGACAACTTTTATTGTTTTCAGTGAAAAAAGTAAATTCATCTTTAGTGTACTTTATTTTAAGGATCACTAATAAGTGAAGCATTATGAGATGGGGTGGAGGAAAGACTATGCCATCCCTTTTTATTAACCATTTCCCCACCTGAAGCACGTGTGTGTGTGTGTGTGTGTGTGTGTATATATTATATTTTTTGTGTGTGTTTGAGGTCCTAAGTATATAGACTTAGCAGGGAAGGAAGTAGTGGAGTGTGTCTCTGTCACCCAATTACACCTATTTATATAACACTAACATATTCCGCAGCGCTGTACAATAGGTGAACAAGACATGTTTGACATACGAGAACAGTAGGCAAAGATTGCCCTGCCCAAAGGAGCTCACAATCTAAAGACAATGGTTTCAGTAATACTGTTTTGCAAGAAACCTGATGGAGAAGTGTGAGTTTCTTCTTAAATTATAGTAGCGCATTGCAGTGGAGTTGAAACGGTGAACAAAAATTGCTTAAATAAAGTAGGTGTGTGTTTTATATATAGACTTATAATATCAGGGAAAAAGTAGACAAATGAGAACCCAGGCTCTATCCCTTCCCTCTAGTTCCTGGCTGGGCCTCGCAGCAGTGAGCTGCTGGCTTAATGAATGGGGCACAGTTCAGGGGGTGGAAGGAGGGTCGGGACGGGAGGCTGGAGCCAGAGACTTGATTCCTTTGGCAAAGGAAGAAAAAAATGTGAATGCTAAGTTCTAATCCCTGGAGGGCCCCTCACAAAAGAACTGGTTCCTCCTGGAAAGCGCAAAGGTGACCTTTAATTCACTTGAGCTGCCCTTTAATGTTGTCTATGGAACTAACCCCCCTTGCTTTTTCTTCTCCTAAAAGAAGCTCAATTTGGTACAGAGAGAACTTGCTGGGTAGCTACTTAACCCCCAGTGTGCTGGCATAAGGCAATTGTCTAACATCCCCGTGGCACATTCACAGTTAAAAATGCCTGCTTTTTCTCTTTTAACCTTTTTGTAGGACCAAGGCAGGAGCAATAGTTAGTTATACGACTTTATTTAAGGAGTGCCACATGGACCACAAGCTGGTTAAGGTGGGAGATGTCCAACTATAACTGCGGCAAAAATTAACATGGGTTCCGTGTCTTGTGTGGAGTGATTAAAAGGTTTGATTCTTCTAGGCATTCTGCGTTTGGAGAAACTCAGGCTAGTTATGTCTTCCTTTGCTGGCACTCAATAGGTTAAACTGGCTTGTATTTTTTTTAAGTTGAATTACTGACTTGAGAAAGGAAGGGTGTGTTCCATGGTACTAGATTCATTCTCATGCTCTTAAAATTCTATCCCACTCCCTTTACGTACGTAAGTGAGCTTAGTCAAAAAGTCCCAACCAGTTCTTAATGTAGGACCCACCAAAATGAGGTGATTGGCCTACTGCTAGCTTCATCCAATATTTTTTCTTTCTTTTTTTTTTTTTTTTTTTTTTTATTCCCAGCTGTCTACAATTGAAATTGTACTATATATATATTCACCAATCTGCAATATAGTAGCTGGCAAGGCAAGGTTTGATCTCAGGTGGTGACTTTCAACCCAAAGAGAGCTGAAACATTACTCAGGCTCTACCTAAATGAGAGAAGATCAAAAAGGATGATCTCTTGTGGGCTAACCAGTAGCTATTTTTGAATTTAGCTCCCATTATGCCTTATTTGAGTACTTGTTCAACAGCTGGAAGCCTACTTTAATTCATCTTCTCTTTATCAAACATGGAGGGCTCCAAGCGACAATGAAATTTGTTTTCGATGAAGAACCGTTACATAAACTTTCCTAATTAAAATAACAAAGTGAGAGAAACCCAAAAAGGAATGGAAGTTTTTCTTTGCATTTATTCTCTTTCTGATGACCGGGAGTATGCGGAGAGCTATGGTGTGGGCAAAGCAAAATGTACCGTGTCCCCTGACAAGCGAGGTTATTGGGGGTTAATGGCAGGATGACAGAATAAAGGCTTTGGATGAGACTAGGCTGTCTGCCAGGCTGGGTGTATTGCTGAAAAGAACACATCATCTGACCGTTGCTGTAAGAGGCCAGGCCAGCGAAGAGGAGGGAACATGAGACTTGGCAAGAATTGTGTGTAGCTTTTGGCCTAGGATACTCCTTCTTGTACCTGCCCCTTTCCTGGCACAGACATTTTTCAAGCAGCTAGGGTGGGCTTTTGAAGACTAAGGGGGTTATTTATCAGACACAAGCAGGATTAACTTTTCATTTATGTTCTTAGATGAATATGATACTGCTTTCTTTACTCTCCTAGTTTGCTTTTATTTTTACTGTCCTTGTACTCCTCCCTATTCATCCTAGAAACGTTATTTTGTATATATCCCTTTAAATGGACACAATATTGCCCGCTTTTGATTCCTTTATATACCGGCTTACAGCCTTTAAGTAATGTAAGGTAGGTTTTGGATTGGTGTAGTTGTCTGCTAGTTCCCCAGCACTAAAATGTTACACATTATTTGTGTTTAGAACTCTTATCTCTTTTCAGAGAAATCTTTCAGATCTGTTAGTACCTATGTCTGTATTGTAGTGATACAGCCCTCAGCTATTTGTGGATCTCCGACAAAAAAAACCAAGTTATAATGTTGCATCTTTATTAAAAAAACAAAACAAACAAAAACTTTTTTAAAACAGAAAACAAATGCCTATTTTTCTTTTCTTTTCTTGCACTATTTTCTGCCACGCTACGTTTTCAACGTAGTAAAGAGCCAGTTTCTGTTAGCGCCTCAATCCGTTTTAGATGTATTTGTTTGGCACCTGGTGGATCTAATGTTCCCAAGGTCCATAATATCACATGACCTCCTGCGTTGTCGTCTACGTGACTGCACAGTTTGTAAGGTGAACATCAAATTCCTGCTTGGTGCCGTCTCCCAGTGACCCGGGAATGAGCCGTCTAGGAGAACACTGTAATAGGCCATAGAGAGGTCACTGCCAACACTGGGATTAAATAACCCACGCAGCAGTCTGGCTGACTGCACCAGTGTCATAGAACAGCTTCCTTTTCAATTTTATTTTCAGCTGCGAAGATATGGGCTCCTGAACCACTGCCTCAATTTAGTTGTGATACACGAATATAAATAAAGTGCACGTTGACAATCTTTCACTGGATGCCATTTGCTTTAAAAAGACCACAGTTTAACCCTTTGTTGTACCGGGTTAATAACGCACTTATCAAAGCAGAGCAGGTTTTGCAAGAGAATATATGTTGAAAATTTTTTATGTAACTAATGATAATTGGGCCTCCTTTAATGTGGGATGTGTAGATTGTTCCAAATTCTCATTAACCAGTGCGAAAATAAACATCCCAAGACAAGCAGTCTCTCTGCAGAGGGGAGGATAATGCTGCAAGACAATTTAATGTCACTTGTGAATAAAATATTTGAAAGCATGAGTTGTAGGATAATTGCTGTGCCAACAAACTGGAAACGTTTTTTTATCTGCAGAGAGAAAGTTGGTTGCTTGTATGAAATTACCCATAATAGCATGTGCAGTCTGCAGTGTAATGTAATCACTGATTCTGTGAATGAGTCCATCACTGTATAGCAGCAATGGCCAACCTTTGGCATTCTGACAATTGAAGACAAAGGTTTCCCTGATAGTTTGCTCAAATTCTCAAAGGAAATATTTATTTTTGCACACTTTGTTTGGTGACACTCTTTCACCTTGTTCGTTAACAGAACAACAGACCAGAGCAGAATTAGCATCAGTGCATTGTTAAAAAAAAAAAAAAAAAAAAGTGCCAGAAAAAAATGCTCTTAAGAAAGAATATAAAAAGCTTTTATTCACTTGGTGAAAGAGTAAAAAAAAAAAAAATTCCCAGTTCGGGAGTACTTTATTTTATTTGTATTATTTAAAAAAATATTTTAATAGTGTGGGTCACCTCTAGTTTAAAGCTGCTGAATGCCTTATTTTTTTTTTCCTTTGACTCTCAATTTACTAATGGATCTTTCATGACTTTTTCAGCTTCCTTCCCCAAACGTTGAGGCCAAGGAAGTTATTGGCTAGGAGCTCATTTTGGTTTGGCTGCTTTACACTCACACGGGTTCCCCACCCAGAGTTATTATCCTGGGTTTTAGCTTCTAAAAGTTAGACTTTTAAGAGTTTGCTCAGCCCTTAGCCTTTCACCTCCCTTTTACCAAAAGATTTGGTGAATTCAACCACCATCACCATCTCTTCACCCCTCCCCCATTTATTTAGTTTGGCAAGCGGACATGTGTCAAGTTATTTTTGCTGCCCATTAAATAAAGCACTCTTTGTTTTATATCAAGAGTGTCTCAAAAGCTAACTTTTATAGGACTTATTGGCACACTGTTTAACTCCATCTGATGTGAAGTAGAACAGCTGGTTAACCAATAATGTTCTAGATGTTTTCTATAGGCTTTTATTGATATATAATTTGTCATAGCTTATTGGTGCAAAGATTGAAGACTAAAGCTATTCAAACATAATTCTTTGCTACACCTCCCCTCCCACACTTCTGTTACCTAAACGAATGTTTGTTTGAAATCTACATTATTCAAATTGCTTTAAGCGTGACCCTCCCACCACTTTTATGCAGCTAAATGCTACCCAAAATGCTTTTTGTGTCATTCCCACCAATTCTATTCAGCTAAATGTTTTGAGGGCATCTATGGTCCGTTTAAAGGTGGATGGAAAAAAAAAAACCTAATTCATCCACTGATGTTGAACTTTTCACGAAAAATGGTTTGTTCGTTTAATTTGTGTGTCCTTGGTACGCTTGCCTTATTAAGTAAAAATTATTCTCCCACCTTTTTCCCTCTGTCCTTTGGGCGGGTTTGCTTGTGTACGCTAGATCTAAATGGCTTGTTTTGTTCCATAAGATTAATCACACATAAAGGCTAGACTTTGCCCAGCCACAGTCTAATCCATAACAATAGCTTACCAGCAGCCGACTTTTGTCTAACTCCCTGCTAGTTACGGGTCCTTAGAGTTCATTAATTAGAACCAAGTGGGAAATATGCTGTGCTGCTGTTGATCTAAGTACAGCGCGTTGGGTAAACTCGCATTAACCCCTTCCGCCTGTGTTCTCGCTGAAGCAGTCACGTCATTAGCCTTTTTCCCCAAAAGGTGTGATTTAATGTCCCCAGTTCAAACTACAGTGCATCATAAATTAACAAACGCTTATATTAAAATACTTTAGTAGAAAATAAATATATTTAAAAAAAAAAAAAAAACTAAGCAAAATTATTTCGCCACAAGGGCATGTTGGGTATTGTTGTCAGACACAACTTCAGGGCTCGCTCGTGCCCTGTTAGGACAGCTGATTGTAACTCTCATAGAGAAGTTTGAAGAATACAGTGTTTTGGTTGTCCAAGGTTTTTCATCTCTTCTTCATAGAACAGTGATGGCTAACTTTTAGCGCTGCGGAGAGGTTGTGGTCTCTAATCCCATGATGCTTGGCAGCCTATAGGTTGTAGTCCACAAACAAGATTAGCCATCACTGATACATTCCACAGCCAGGCCTGGTGAGAAGATAACACAAAGGCTTGGAGAATTGATGAGATAATCAGTGTGGAGCACGTGCTGTGGGAGGGGAAGGGGAGGGTGAAGGCTGTCAAAATGAGTTTGCAACACTATTTAGGCACTGCATCAAACACTGCGAAAACTGTTGATGCTGGTCCTGCGTCAATTTATTCGTATTATACAAATAATCAATTTCATTGAATGACAGCTCACGTGAGTTGAGTAATTGAGGACTAAAAAGCCGCATAGTTGTGCACATGCAAAGTAATAATGACTGTACGCAAGCGCCAAAATGGTCTAGACTAGAGAATATTTAAACATTAAAGTTGTAGCCCTAACTTGCAGCTAGCTATGTAATTATTAAATATTAAATAAGGGATGGAAACTTTTTTTTTATTTCATTTTTTTTATTTAAAAAAATAAATAATTTTCCCCCCTCTTTCAAGCAGGTAATTTCCTTTTCGCTATTGAATGGCATAGGGGCTTTACCTTACAATTTTATTAGAGTGCATGGCTGTCATTACAACTTTCATGTAGGCTGAGTATTCTGGGAGTTGTGGTAAGATAGCCCCCACTTTGTAACTGTGGTGCTTTATAGTGAATTCATCTTAAGGCCACATTAAGCAAGTTGAAGAATGTTTCCAACTTGCAGAATTTGGCTCAAATACATTTCTATCTGTTTAGTGAATATGCCCCTTAATTTAGATCTTTTTACAGTATTTGTGTGTTCTTCTGAAGAATAGAAAATGGCAGAGTTAATGTGCTTAAAGATTTTTAGTGATAGCCAGTCTCTGGCTTCATTGTCCTAGCACCTTGGCAATAAAATCTTTAACAATGCACCCTTTAGGTCAATACATTCCTTAAAGCATGTAATCTGCTGGAACCCACCCTTTTAAACATAAACAAGCCGCAAGGGGTGCTGGAAGGGGGATGAATGGAGCTGTTTCTCCTAGGGTTAAATAATCATTACCAGGACTGACAACCTCTTTCTTCTCTGTTTTCCTGTAAAACCTAACTTCCTCAGCAAAAAGGATTCTCTGCTTGTGTTCATTTAAAACTACCTTCTCAGTCCTGGGGGCACAGGCTTTGTTAAACGGAGCACATCACTATCACGTTTGCCGCATCTGCCTAACTTGCCACCATTTTTAAAAGGATCCCACCACATTTGTGGGAAAGAAAGGCATGATCTACTTGGATGCATTTGCTGTACTTTAACCCTGACGTGAGTGTTGAGAGCAAATTTAGCTTATGTTGGTAGAAGCTGTTTTGACGTTAGTCTCGATAGAGCCTGCACAGTTGGGTATTAGCCTGCAATGTGTTTCTGATCTGCCTGTCGTGCCTTCTGAATATTAAGTCTTGATCTGTAACGGTCGTATCCACCCCCTACCCCACCACATAAAGCAGAGCATGCATAGTCGCACATACAGTATCTGGAACACATATAATTTTTATTTTTTATTTTTTTTTGGTGACCGCCCCCTCCGCGTGCTAGTGCTTAATGGTCATTGGATGGTATGACTGCTCCATCGATACAGATGTTACAAATTAGAAGATTCCTATTTCATTAAATGATATCCCTTAAGCAAAGATCTCCCCGTAGCACATTGTTTGAGCAGTCCTGCGGGGTATCTTCCTTTTTATTGCTGCAATGGCAATCCATGATCACTGCAAATTGTTTAAAGTCTATACCCCATGCTTGATTTCCTGAAGCATCATGGGATATGGTTGTGCCACATTAAATCACTACATGAAACCTATAGTTATTGGGTCGGATATGTTAGACCTTGGCCTAAAAACAATGTCTTTTTTTTTTTTTTTTTTTTTATTCCCAACAAAACTGCTTGTTAATGTCTGGTTAGTACCTATTTTCTTATTAACCATGAACCAACGCGTTCTAAAGCAGATCTACAATAAACAATGTTACATTACACAGCAACTAAGCTGTTTTAAATGTAACCGGTATTTTTTTTTTTTTTTTTTTTTTTTTTTTTTTTTTTTTTTTTTTTTATGTCCCTTCAAAACTTTTTAAAGGCTCTGGGTCAGACAAAATCTCTTAGATCATTACATACCTGACACATCCGTGGGTTTGAAGGAGTTAATCATTATTTCTACGGCATCCTTGATTATCATCCAGCTAATTTAAGGAATTCTAGCTATGGGTTATACAGAATAGACACACAGAAATTCTCTGTGCTGTGGGGAACATTTTGCAATGGAATTTCCACCCTCCCTGGTTGCAAAGCCGGTGTGAGTGTGTGAGAGAGTACGTGTGGATGTGAATTTAGCATGTGCTTGGGAGACGTGATTAGATTATAAGGCAGACAGAACTAATGATTAACTTTTTCAGTCTGCATACCGTCTCCAGGCTGGCTAGTACTGCTTGGATGTTGGTTGAGTGCATTTTTTTTCTCTCCTACATATTGTGTCACAGCTTAGTATTGTACTGCAAAGTAAGACCAAAGATTCTGCATTTAAAAGGCTCGCACTGGAAGTCTCACAGGCCATACATCAGCTGACTTAGATTAATGAAGATGTATTTTTTGTGTGTGTGTGTTTGTTACCTTTTTTGAAAGGTGTTGAGGTGGGGGGTAGAATGTTCAGAGAGTATAACTTCATGCTAAAGGATCCCTTGATGTATTTTTTTTCCCTTGTATAAAATGAGCTTAAGTTAGTCTACTTTACCCCCCCTCCCAAATTATTACCCATACATCTTGTCATTCTTTTTAAATAGTGTCTGTGGAAAACCAACCGCACGCATGGTGATATGCATGTACTGTTTATTTAGATTTGAGGTAGAAGCGTCAGCACAGGGCTGTCATCCTTCCAAGGAAAACATGCAAACCACAGCTCAAACCATAGAATGCTAAATGGAAACCCTCAAAGGGTTAAATATTGGCATCCAAAGTTTATTTTTTATTTTATTTTTCCCCCTTTTCTTTTTTCCTTTTCAAAAAAAAAAACCACATCTGTCCCAAATTTTAGATTTGCTTACTTTTGTTTCCCATAACATTGTATTGAGTGTTCAGAAAAGTTGGGGCGGGGAACTAACATTTTGCTGATTCGAGTTAAGCACGACCACATCCACTGTAAGGAGAACCACAGCACAAACCCACAAATCATGGCACTGTCCTGTGTAATTTAGGTTCAAAATAAGATGTCTGTAAGTTTCATTATTTAAAGAGGGTATCCATGGTTTTTATTTTCTCCTTAAATAGAAACTGTGCACGTTTTTTGTTTTCTTTACTTCAAGACACAGAGCAGCCACCTTGGAATCTTAGATGACCAATGAGTACTGCTTGCAGCCATCTTGGATTCTTAGATGGTCAATTGGTACTGCTGGCAGACATCTTGGATTCTTAGATGACCAATGAGTACTGCTGGCAGCCATCTTGGATTCTTAGATGGCCAATGAGTACTGGTTGCAGCCATCTTGGATTCTTAGATGGCCAATGAGTACTGCTTGCAGCCATCTTGGATTCTTAGATGGTCAATTGGTACTGCTGGCAGACATCTTGGATTCTTAGATGACCAATGAGTACTGCTGGCAGCCATCTTGGTTTCTTAGATGGCCAATGAGTACTGGTTGCAGCCATCTTGGATTCTTAGATGGCCAATGAGTACTGGTTGCAGCCATCTTGGATTCTTAGATGGCCAGTGGGTACTGCTTGCAGCCATCTTGGATTCTTAGATGGCCAGTGGGTACTGCTTGCAGCCATCTTGGATTCTTAGATGGCCAATGGGTACTGCTTGCAGCCATCTTGGATTCTTAAATAAGCAATGATACCTACTGTTGGCTGAACACAGTATATCTAAGTTGGATATCACAATATTTTTGCTGTCTACCAATATGTTTTATTTCTATATAAGTTTACTATATTGGCCTACTTTTGTAGGATGTGTTTGCACTGATTGAGGTTTGCAAATAGAAATTTAAATCTTACATTAATATATGTAGGTACTGTCTTCACCTCTTAATTATCATTAATGGCCCTTTTTCGCATTTAAATACACGGTGTGTTCTGATCTTTATTCCTAGCCCCTCAAGCCCTTTCCTATAATCCCTTGTAATTGTTCGAGATTGATAGTGGCCCAGGGTCTAGCTGTCTCTGTGGCATAGGAGGCACTGCGTCCTATATTTTTTGTTCCATACATTTTAACTTCGTCTTTTGTCAGCACGTGGCCATTGTTTTACAAACCGAGCTTGGGTGCCGTTGCCACTATTCTTTGCAGGTGTGAATGGGTTAATTTAATTGCTTTTAAATCATTTGGATCTCCCAGACTGTCTTGTTAGCTGTAATTTTGGTTTCAATGTAGCACAATACAGCCAGTTCCTGGCAGACAGCTTGCAGCTCTCTTCTGCAAGTTCTTTATGTGCTTGTTTGTTTTTTCTTGTCGTTCTTAACCCCTTTAAGGTTTTTTTTTTCTGTTTGTTGGCAGAAATCTTCTTTCTTCTCTCGTAACCCAATCAGCTCCCCATCTCTTTCCGCTGTCAGCCTAGAATTGTACAAGAAATTTTTCCAAAGCACACTTTGAGAGTATGATGGCGGAATGTTGGCCTCACCTCTGGTGCCTAATGGGTTAAAAGGCGTATGGTTATTATATTAAATTATAGTTGTATTTAATGTGTGTGTGTTCTTGAATTGTTTTTATTCCCAATGGTTAAAAGTCCATCATTTATCATGTTTTTTTTTGCATTATTTTTATTTTTGTAAAGCCACAGCCCAAGATGTATTGTCATTATTTCTGCAAAGAACTTTTTGTCTTAACCTTTTGATTTGCAGAGGGGCGTTTTGGCTGCTGGTCGTTTTGGCAGCAGAGAGTTAAACAAATTCTGAACATCACACATACTGTAAATATATTGTGAATGGGATTTGGCTTCCTTCAAGAGCCCACCCTTCCTCTAAGGCATTTTGCTATTAAGCAGAGTTTTTACTTCAGCCTACAAAGAGAGCACTATAATTTGCATGGCTGATGAGACATTGAATTCTGGGACAGGAAGTTAAAATGTTTCTAACCACTGGAGACAGGCAGACAAGTGGTTTGTTTAGTTACATGCACTTTTTTTCTGTCTCCGACAGTCACAAAAGGACTCCTCTGCACTGTGGTGAAATGGATGAGTTTATTTATTAGTCAAGTCACCAACTATCCTCTTTTTAGAGTTACAATCAAAGGAACAATTAACCAAGTTTTTTTGTCTTGTCCTTTTAACCCCTTTCTCTAACCTCCAAAAAAAGTCAACATACATCTAGGTCTGTGACTCTTCCAGTAGAATTTAAAGGGACACGAAGCACCAAAACTACTACATCTTAATGCAGTGGTTTTGGTGTGTGTAGATGTTGCCTTTTTCCTGACAATATAAATATTGCCTTAAATTTTTTTTTTTTTTAATTATATATTTTTTAACATTAGATTGTTCCTTTAAAGTGTCCTATCTAAGGGAAATAACATTTCATGTTTATATGTATTTATAATATATAGTTTGGTAGTTGTCTGGGGGGGAGGAAAAAGTTCCATGTCATTGAAACTTTGGTAAAATTCATTCATGAACTGCGTTCAGTCATCTTATAATGAGCTGTTCATTGCAAGCCAGGTTGGCTTACTTTTCTGTGCTTTACCAATTAAATAAGTCTTTGTAAGTGGCCATGAGCTACTTGTAATGTGGGATTCAGTAATGCATACACAAACACACAGAGACTAGTCTACCCACTCTCCCCCTTATTTCCAGGAAGGGTCGCTTTCATGTTGGGGTGTGGGAATAGGAAATGAAAATAAGCACACACAAAAATCTTTTTTTTTTCTTTTTTTTTTTTTTTAAGGAATTTGTGGCGGTTCTTATGTTCGTAAGAATTTGATTTTAGTCTGTTGCTTCGATCGCTGTAAAGAGCAATCCCAAAGGAAAGTGGCCTGCAAATTTAGATTAGTATATGTCTTTCAATTTTCTTTTTCATTCTTATTTTACTGAACATTTGGAGAGGCTTTTTTATTTTTCTGTTTAACGCTACATTTTGTGATGTTATAAAATAAGGCCCTGTTGTAAGGGTTTGAGTTCTCTGTACATTTTTAGGGGTCCAATAGATCAGTGGTTCCCCACCCAGTCCTTAAGTACCCCCTAACATTAAAGGATTTAAGGATTACTTAATTGTGTCTAAGGTGGATTTGGGGAAACTAAAATAAAAAAAACACTTTAGACACCACAGGGAATCCATAAATCCTGGACTGTTAGGGGGTACTTGAGGACTGGGTTGGGAACCCCTGCAATAGATCGTGGGTTAGCACTATCTGAGAGTTTAAACCGTTTAATGCATAGAAAGATGTCTGTATACAAAATAACTTGATTGTTTCTAGAGGAATACCAATACCCATCACGCCTCCAAAGTAATGATGGTGCTGCAGTGTTGTACACTTGACAGTAGGAGGCAGTAGAAGGGTCTAAGTTTGGACCACCTGGTTGGTTGGTGAAACCGAACAAGGGCAAGTTATGCACTGTAGGTACCCTCTAGGATTGACTGGGGAATACTACACCAGCTAATGCCATGTAGATATGAGTGTGCGCACATAAAATAAACCACCCTCCAAAAACCACATTTAATACTATAAAGTCAGCATATGGATTCCCTGTGGCCCTAGCTGGAATGCCTTTTGTCTGCAGCTCTGGGCAGTAAAGAGTTACAGCGTAAGCGTACACACAGCCTGCAATTTATCTGGGCTAGGCTGCAACCGTAATCTAAAAACTTCTTTTACTGACGTCTGTCTGAAAATTGCTGGGTGTACTGGCGAGGGCTTGAAATGAAAGAGAAAAATGCAGTCATAAGGATTTTCTTTCACGCAACTGGGTGGCTTTAAAAAAAAACCTTCCATTTTCCCAACTTTTATTTCGTCTGTTTGTTTGGTTTTTTTTTTTGTTTTGTTTTTTTCCTCCAGTGTATAAATACATATATAATTTTTTTAAAAGTCTGCCTTTTATTTATTTTTATTTGTGTTAAGTGCTTTTTTTTCTGTAAGTGTGTGTGTCTGTAATGTGTATATGTCTCAGTGTTGTAGACTTTTTTCTCCCCCCCAGGCCGTGAAACACGTAAATTCTCTATAAAAGCATTGTCTGTTTTCCAGGGATGTTGCCATTTAAAAAAAAGGATAAAAACATTTTGTATCATTTTTCTGTTCATACCTCTGGCCCTAGTCATAAAGTATTCGAGCACAACCTTGCCTGCTAATAGTGCTGTTTACTATAGACTTTTACCAATTTTTTTTTTTTCTTTTTCTTTAATAAATTCTTCTCCCAGTGACTATAAGTGTACTTTCAAAGGGTTAGGTTAAAGGTAACTTGATCCTATAGCGAGTTTCTCTCCACCAATAATTCCACCCTCCCACTACCTCCCTCTCCCTCCACCCCTTCCCTCACTTTATACTTTTTTTTTTTTTTCTTGCTTGCTTTTTTTGGTGCCAGGTTTCACTGGGATACAGATATTTGAAACAAAGTATTGTGAGGCACCAAAAAGGGGGGATGTTAGAAGCGATCCAGGCACACCTAAGCATGTCTGAATTCCTCCAGTTTACTTGATATGGAATTTCTCCCCTGCCCTCCCTCCCTTACTGAACATCATGAGTGCATTGTCCTGATGTTTGAAAAAAGAATTATCTAACAGATTACCTTACAAGTTGATGATTCTCATTCATTCTCTCTCTCTCTCTCTCTCTCTCTCTCTCTCTCTCTCTCTCTCTCTCTCTCTCTCTCTCTCTCCTTTGTGTTTTTTTTTTTTTATGCAAAATTGAATAGGTATAATAAATTTTTTATTTATTAGAAAGTGACGCTTTTGTGGTGGCTTTCTGTTGTCCCTCTCATTGCATCCCCCGCCACCTCCAGCTTTTTTTATTTTATTATTGTTCTAGTGCTTCTAATGGATAAATGGCGCCAGGAAAAAATAAATAAATCCAAATTCATAGTTGTCTTTGCAATTGAGCAGAGAGCAAGTCTGCAGTGGAACAATAAATGTATTTCTGCATGCAAATACAAAGACTTCCGGTCTCCTCCTTGCTACCACAAACCACAGACTAATAGGCTTGGTGAAACGTATAACTCATCTCATCTCAGGAGTCATACCTCTTTATTACTAAGGCTCCGGCTCAACATGTTAGAAGCTGTGTGTAATTCTTTATGATAGGTCCTGTTTGGTCTGTCATTGAAACTGAAAGTTTGCCCTGCATTCTGTTTTAATATGTATATTAACATGAATGATGGTTTAGATATGTGGACAGTCATTTTGAGTTGATATTAACATAACAAACAGGGACATTGAGGAAATTGTCATGGTCAATATTGTCAAGCTATGAGAGCTACACATTTCTGTTGAAACAAATAAAATTAATTGTTGTTTTTCTTTGTGTTTCAACAGATTCACAACTTCTTCAGGAGTCTGGAGACCCATCACACTGGTGCGTGGTGGCATATTGGGAAGAAAAAACAAGGGTGGGTCGATTATACTCTGTCCAAGAGCCCTCCCTGGACATCTTCTATGATCTACCTCAGGGGAATGGCTTCTGCCTTGGACAACTAAATTCGGACAATAAAAGTCAGCTGGTGCAGAAGGTCCGCAGTAAAATTGGATATGGGATCCAGCTGACCAAGGAAGTGGATGGTGTCTGGATTTATAATCGCAGCAGTTATCCAATCTTCATCAAGTCGGCCACACTGGACAACCCAGACTCTAGGACGTTATTGGTCCATAAAGTGTTTCCAGGATTCTCCATTAAAGCATTTGACTATGAGAAAGCTTACAGCTTGCAGAGGCCTAATGACCATGAGTTCATGCAACAGCCATGGACTGGGTTTACTGTACAGATAAGCTTTGTGAAAGGCTGGGGTCAGTGCTATACAAGACAATTTATCAGCAGCTGCCCATGCTGGTTGGAAGTGATATTTAATAACCGATGACTCGGAGACGAGTGGACTTCTGGACGTTTGACTACTTTGCTGCTAATATTTCCTTCTGAGTGCTTGCTTCTTCATGCAAACTTTTTTTGTTTTTACATTTTATTTGTTTGTTTTGAGAAATAGCTTATGTCAAGAATTACCTTTTTTGGGGGGCAAGGGAGGGGTTTTAAAAATTTTATTTTAATTGCTCTTCTTAAAGGTATGAATGACCTCTCTGAGACCAAGCTGGTGGGAGAAGCAGAACCTCGGAAATTGAAGACATTGTTGGCTGTTGTGATAGACCTTACATTTTGTATTGAGTGATGTCTTTCCAGCGTACTGAAGTGACTGTTTGGGGGGAGGTTTGAAGGAGAAGAAAAGGGGATAGAAAACACAGAGCAATATCAAAATTTTAGATTTATCTAAGAGTGACCACTGTTCTCACCGGTTTCCTTATATTTTGGACACAAATTTTAAGCCACGTTAACGTTTTCCTACATCCATTTGTTGGTTACAGATTACAGAGGCCATGATGGCTTTTGCTGTGGCGAAGTTTAAAATGTGGTTAGATTTTGGTCCAATAGACAAAGCTGTATTGCAGAACGTACCATATCATCCTGATTTTAGTTCTTGACGTTAGCCACTAGGTCAGCAGTGGTCAATGAAAAGCTCATCAGATTTTGTTGAAAAATAACTCTCGTTATCTCTGTAGAAAAACTGTGGACTTTGCAATTCCTACGTCAGTCCTTATTTTATCGCTGTTCTACTTTAGGGTGGCAGAGTGCGATGAGGGTTCTATTTCAGCAGCTGTAAAGCATTTGATTGACTACTTCTGGCCTGGCTAATATGCTCACGCATGACTGGTAACTTTGCATTACAAGTTGCTTTCTTTTGATGTACAGGCACAAACCCCACATCTGGTAGAGAGTGTCATGTTTGAGGTGTAGGACAAAATATGTGTATATATATATATTTGGAGTCTTGGTTTGCAGTGATCTGTCCTTTTTATCGTTATAAAGACCAAACTTAAAAGCTGCCAACTTCTTCTGCAAGACACTGCCCTCCAGTCCACGTCCCCTAACACGCAGAGTGTCACAAACCATGCAGACATTTTAATTTTTTTTTGGTGGCAGTTCTTCTGGTTTGTTGTTTTAAATAAATCAATGCAGAACGCTGCCTGATAACATATATTTGCAGGTTGAAAAATATATATATTTTTATTTCCTCTCAATTTATGAGACCTTTGGGGCCTTGATGTACAACGAAAGGGTTGGTGGGAAAATGATCAGTGGTGTAATTTGTGTAGGTTGCCATTTGTGTGTATGCTGTGCAGGATTCTAATTTAACTAAGATCTACTTCTCATCTTCACATATGCCAGTACATTGGAAAAAATTAAGAATGCTGTTAAATTGAGAAGAATATGTCAGCAGGACCATCTTGTAAACAGATGAGGAATTACAACTGACATGTAGAAATGCTCTGAAAACCCAAGATTAGTAGTACTTTTTATTGCACGGCATACAAACACATGGCAATTTACTAAATTGTGAAAAGATGGAGAGATTAATCTCAAGTGGAAATTTTCAAATCATTCTTTTGAGTGTTAATACCATATCTTAGCAATTGAGGTTCTGAAGTAGAAGTGTTTAAATGCAGTGAAATCTTCCCCACCTTTCCACTTTTTGGTATGCATTCTCCCACCCCCAGTGTTGACACATTACCTTTTTAATTTGGGATCTTTATTTATTATTATTTTTTTATTTAAAAAAAAAAGCATTTCCAATTATTGTATATAGTAAAATGTAGCCTGGATATAGCAATCTTCAGATCCTAAATACAGTTTTTGGAAATGCATCTTATACGGGCCCAGTTTAAATAACAACAATGGTCATGTGATCTCCTAATTCATTCATATGTCTGGGAAGAGAAACACAATGAAACATACAGTATTTGCTCAACAGTTTCCTACTTAAAGGTACACATTATGCACAGGGAAGGGATATTTTTTTTTCTTGATATCATACTTTAAGTATGATACTTTTTACATTGTTCCTAGCTCAATGAGCATGTTCAACATAAGCTATTTTTCTAAATATCGAAGTTTAAACGAACAAGATGGGGCACTCTTTGGAACTTAAGCATTGTAGTGCTTTGGAAAAAAAATGGACTCCTAAAAACTGAGATTTATTAAAGAAATGTATTTTATGTTATATATAAATATATTATTACTTGTAAATATCAAAGACGTTTTTATAAGCATCATTATTTATGTATTGTGCAATGTGTATAAACGAGAAAAATAAAAAAGATGCACTTTGCTTAATATAAATGCAAATAACAAATGCCAAATTAAAAAAAACAAAAAACTTAATACATGTCTAGCGTTTTGTTTACTGAGGGGTGTTTGTCAAGCATTTGATTTATTTATGATTTATTAATTGCTCTTACTTATATTTTCTTTTTAGTTTGTGATGTTGGTTAAGAATCACTCGAAGCATGGAGACCAGGGGTTTCATTTATAACTTTTTGTTGTTATCGTAGTTTTATTTAAAAAAAAAAACCAAACCCCACAGAACTGTTTACATGGACGAACCAACATACATGAAAGTGGCAGGTGTTACAAGTTTTTTTTCATAGACTGGAATAAAGTAACCATGGAAATATTCACTAAAAAGTGATATTTGCAAAGAACAACTTGCACATGGTGTGGCTGCATGTTCAGAATTACACTTAACAAATGTTGTAACTCCAGTAGAGCTGCTAAACATATTTATAAAACTTGCAAAATATAGTCCGTTTGGGAAAATTGGCAATATTGCTCCTAATTTCTCAATCTCTGTGTATACATAAGCACAGATCACTGTTTTCTAGATGTGCATTATTACATCATTACGTTACCAATAACTAAAACAAGTTCCAAACCGTGCTTAGAACTAGAACACACACACACACACACACAAAAACAAACAAACACACTCTTGCTTTAAATGTGCTGGCCCATGGTTTATGGGATCATTTGTTCAATACAGTTTACTACAGTGATTGCACTTTGGGTATTTTAGCTGTAAAGGTGGGCAGGGGGGTGGGACGACAAAGACCAACAAGTATATGTGAGCAGTTGTTCCCTCTTACAAACACAATGTAATTAGCAAGAAAAAAAATGCATCACGTTTAAATAAAAAGTCTCTCTCTCTTTAATTCACTCAACTCCAAATAACATTAATGTGAGATCTGAAAGGCCAAACAATAGGCCAAATTGGGATGGTTAATATCACAAAGGATTTGTGGATTTTATGAATATGGAGGGTAAACTTTGAAAACCAACCTTTGAAAAAAAAAAAAAAAAAGCTACCAATATTAAAACGTAACTTTTAAATCCCGGTCCTGAGATGGAGGATTTTTGTAAATCAGCATTTTCTTAACCTAAATTGTGTGATTTCAAGTCATTACAATTTTGTATTTTTGGGCATAAACCAGTACATAGTGGGGTAAGGCATGCTTTTATTCTGTACATAAGGAGAAGAAGCTAGCCTTTGTGCTCTTTAACCCCTTAAGGACACATGACGGACATATTCCATCATGATTCCCTTTTATTTCAGAAGTTGTGTCCTTAAGGGGTTAAAGGACAGCAAGCCCGATGCATTATATCCTTTCTCAGACTTCCTCAAAGGCTATGTCAACATCTGCACGAGACCTTTGGCAATTTTCCCAGATTGACGCATACCCAGTCCGGGGCTTTTAACCCTGACCCAAAAACCATGTGAATAGCACAAAATATCTCTTGCCAAAAGTGAGAATTACAAGTTAGATTTTCCTTAAAAAGAGGAACTGTCTTTGAAAATTACACCATTGCATAAAACGGTAACATTTTCCCATTTTCAATGTTAGTCTTTGTTAATGTTTTGTTTTCCTATAAATATATATTTCAAAAATTTAAAGAGTTTCGTTAAGTCCTGGCACAGGCAGAGCACACTATGCATTTTCTACATTTCTCCTCTCTACACGTATTGACAAGTGCAAAGGAGCTTATCACAGTGATTGACATGGAACTAAGATGGAGGCAAAAAGCTAAATATAGTGGATTTATACATTTTTATAGGCCTAACATATATTGTTAAATGTATGGGATAGTTGAACATAATATTAAAAAAACTGCAAAGTAAAACTAAGTTTTAAACAAGAATAGATACCTATTCCTTCCTCCACCCTAAGTAGGTGGGATGGAGGATAGAAAAATAGTGATGGCTTTTGGGTCCTATAGTCCCCAGCTCTGTTGTAATTGGACCAGAGAAATTCCTATTGCCCTTGTTTAGATATTGATAGAGTTCCCACTGGTTATATTTAAAAAAAAAAAAAATAACCCATGTTGTCCTAATATAGGGCAAGGAGACATCCAATCCCCTCATCCGAAGTGTTAAAAAAAAAATCTAAACCCCACAGTGGCAACCTACATCACAAACCCTCACCAAAAAAATTCCAAACACACACAAATGTATACAAAGGACTGCCGTACTCCACTGAAACTTGGGTGGTTACGAGGCTCAGTGTTTTAGGTGGGTTGGTGGTTAGGAACTTCCTAGCCACAAGAAGGAAGGAGATTGTGTTTTTACGCTTGGGGCCAAGAGACTGGGCACTCGACATCAATAATCGTTAGTTAGGTGGGGGACTTTTTTTTTTGTGTGTAATTCTTTATTTTTCGGTTTGCTTAGTTACAACAGGGATACTGTCATTGACAAGTAAAAGTGATCGCAAAAGTAGACATATCCAACGAATAATATATGTATAGGAAACAGCACATTTTTATAAAATAGACAAAAGTAACACTGTGCCATGCTAGGGAAACAGTGAGAGAGAGCTATAAAGTAGGACATCCACGAACAATCAATCGGAGACTAAACAAGTGAGACCTGCATAAGTAAACTGTGATTTGATGAGCTGGCTAGATATACTAAAGTAGGTAAGTATGCCATCCCAGAGAGGTTAGAGACCGTTATGAAACCTCCAATTGTCACATATAAGGAGATTAGGTAGTAGGTCATAGTTCACTTGGGTCTAAAATAACAGAAACTCTGTTGTAGCAGGGAGTTGTAGGCTTTAGAGTAACATGCAGCAGGTGACTCAGCTGAGCGGTCAGCCTATTTCCCTTGAAGGCATGACACAGTCCCGTCAGAGATCGCTAGTCCGCAGGCCCAGCACCAGAAGTTGGGGGGCCAAGTGTGCCTGATGGTAAGTCAGGTGTTGTTCAATGTGCCATGGATCCTATTGTGCCTTAATCCTCCAGGGAGACCTATCATGCGGCTTAAACATGCCCAACTTCGGCAGATTACTGTGCACCTTTCTTCTCTGGCGTTGCCTGTGCGGTCCACTTGTCGGACACGGAGGCATCTGAGCGGTTGCGCATGTAGGTTGGATGCCGGGCTTTGTGTGGGAGGCAAGAGGTATCTGAGGCGCAATTTCTGCCACAAAGACTCAAACAGGCTGTCCAGCCTGAGCAGCTATCCGGTCTTCTCCTCCTTGCTGGGCCAGGAGCACGCAGCCTCCGCGATGTTGGACTCGCCAGGTATGGTGACAGCTTGAGTGTCAGTGCACCATTGGCCCCCTGAGGAGGGGGGGGAGCGGGGCTTTGGTTTCATCAGGCAGCATGCGTCGGGCTGGGAGATCGGCCGCCTCTTCCCTCCACAATGCCCACAAGTGGCAAGGATCACCACAGACGATCGCTAGAAGCGGTTTCAAGCCAGTCAATTAACGCAGGATAGCAGACTGCCTCTGTCAGCTCAAGATAGAAAGCCCAAGATACTGGCAACTAAACTAAATACAAGAATCATGAGGAGCTCATATAAAATACGTCCAGTCACCATTACAGTCAGGCCCCGTGCCCCTCGTGGGGGACATTTTTAACTATACTGCAGCTGTAATTTTCTACTTCCACCAGGCTTTTTACTTACTATTATGCAAATTCAGCGATAATGCTATGAGCAAAACCTCTTAAAGCGGTAAGTAAATGAGAAGTAAGACTAAAAGTTGTGCTAGTAATTAGCATTAAGTTTCTTTGTGTTTTTTAGGTTAAAGTCCAACTCATTTCATGAATTACACTCATGTATGCTCTTGCTCTAGGTCAGGGGTGTCAAACATGCGGCCCCCCAGATGTTGCTGAACTACAACTCCCATGATTCTTTCAATGAAACAGATAGCCAGGGAATAATGGGAGTTGTAGTTCAGCAACATCTGGGGGGCCGCATGTTTGACACCCCTGCTCTAGGTAGTAATGGAAACCAACATGCACATGACAGTCTGGTATCTGAGTGCCTCCAGCACTAAATAGTTTAATACTCACAATGAAATAATGCGTTGGGAAACACAGTGATTTACATGAGCCTTACTGGCTGATAAGTATAGACTTGATGGACAGCAATTTCATAAAAGAAGCATGCAGTGCTATGATGCCTTTTACAGCTGGGTCATCCAATCCCATAATTATGTGAATTACATGGCTTACAGTAGCCAGGCATATTGAAACATATCTCAACACGCGGGTAGAAGAAATTGGATTTCTAACGCTTGTGCAATGGCTGCTTGGACTTCTCAAACCAAATGTGAAAAGGGGATGTAGGGAAGCAGCACCTTCAGTAATGTCCTCAAATCCAACTGAGTACAGGGCGATATGAAATGATAAGAAGACAATGAAACAAAATCTAGTGCAGTATTTTCATTGCTGGTGATTTTATATGAAAAGAAAGAAATACATTTACAATTTTCTGGTGCTTAAAATCAGCTCCAGATGTATTCGCTTAGATGGTATGATCCGGTCTATGGATTGGCTGGTATAGGTCCTGGTCTCTGGAACAGGATATCCATATTCCTTGGCCATGAGGACTGCTGCCTCCACACCACCTCCACTATTAGTAGTTTTAAATCTCAGGATAGTGGGATTAGCAGCACCCAGTAATTTTTTTCCCATCCCTGAAATACTGCAACAACTTGTGATTCTACTAGAACAACAGCTCCTTCTCCCAGAGCTAGTTGAAGCACTATACGTTCTTAGTGCCCTCCCAAGAAGCCTTTAAGGGAGATTGGGGCAGAGTCTACTTTGTGAGCGTTATTAGAGCCACTCTTTAGTGAGGGCTTACAGTGGAGGGCCAAAGTAAATCCAGTAATGATAATTCTGTTTCAGACATAAGACTTTTACCGTTGGCCAAATAATTACTCAACTATGAGTATGATGAGCAAGTGGAATAAAAAATGAGTGTGACAGGCAGCAGTCCAGTATTTTCACCAGCACCTAGTGCCCACTCGCCTTCTGCATCTTGTCCACCATCTCCAAGTTGATTCTGTACAGTTGTCACAACGTACCACCAGCGCTACCTCCTCTGCAACCACTACCGAAACACTTAGGCA